GGGATCGAAAATTGGTTTATATTTGTGTTTTTGGAAGCTAGTTTAAGGTTTGCTGAAAATCTAGGGTAAGTAGAGTCTTGGAGGTCGAACATCATCATCCAGTGACTTGCGTGAATTCTATCGCGATTAACAGGTCGCGTAGGTCATTATAGTGGGGTTTTTAGATTTTTGGTCTCAAGTTTGCGGGTCTTTTGGTGTATCATTTAGGTTCCTTAGATGTTATCTAGAGTGTTGGAATAGATTAAATTATTCAGATTGTGATAAGTGTTTCCTTATTCAGATTCAAGTGTTGGGTTTTGATTCTCGTATCAATTAAAGTTATTTCATGGTACTTCTTATCAAGGTGAGTTTTCTTTTAACTATTTTAAACTGAAATGCATATATTATTAAATGATTAATATTTCGATGCTATAATGTAGTGGTATGCTTGAATTTACTGCTAACTGTGATACGATATTTGATGCATATTGTTGGATACCAATGCATGTAATTTGGTAACCGGTATTTGGGTTAATGGACTTACACAACAGAAGCTCGTGTGCGTTTAAGGCTGTATTGGTCTGGGAAGAGGAGATAACTTTAGCCTACAAATGTATTTTGTGTGGTTCCACTACTGATGATCCTATCGACTGGGACATATCCAAATGTATTTTTGTATAGTTTTGTAGGAAATGACCAATATGTATTTTTTAAATATTAATAACAATATAAAAGTTATATTTAATGTGAAAAATATGTAAATTACCATTTATTGAATCATATATATACATAAGACATGTAAAAACAAATATAATAATAAACCAATTCGTTCGTACACGTTATAACATCAAATACATACATAAAATATTGTTACTAACCGTTCTTACACATGGATTGAAGTTGTCAAACCATAACATCCAAGCAATAAGTACCAAAAATAATGATCATACACTGTTATAGACTGATCATTAGCATATCAAATACTAAAAACATACAACCATTAACAAATATTGTTCATCACCCATGTAGTTCATGTTGAGGTGATGTAGCGAGATGAGAGTCCAGACCGATGTTTGAGTTTGAGTTCGAGTCGTGAGAGAAATCAGTGTTTCAGCATGGAGGTGGATGTCTTAATGTGTAGGGTTTAAAGAGGGTAGTTTTGTCATTTAAAGAAAAATTGGTTGGAATAAAATTCAATTCATTCCCCACCATGATAGAATGTTGAAAAAATCCATGGTTGAAGGAATGTATAGAATTTAATTCCTTTCCATGGTAAACTAATCATGGGAACGGAATTCGGTGAACGTAATCGACCAAATCCTTCGAACCAAACATCCCTTTATTATAATATCAAAAAATAAACGACATATCTAAAAATGTTACAGTAAGTGTATAAGATGTTTTTTGGAGTCGTTACAAGTGTTTATAACATTTTGAAAATAAAGTATCATATTAGTTATTTTATACACCCATTTTTTTACAAGACACTTGTCTTCTTCAACAATTTTTCACATAAGATCATATAAAATAACTAATACGACATTTTTACTGTAAAAAGTCCTAAAAACTTGATAACCATGCCTAAAAATGTTTTATAAACTTATCATAATATCTTAAATATTACATAATATTAAGACATCTATATATACATCTTAGATGTCATATAAACTCAGTTTTTTATAGATATAATTGTTTCTGTAACGATTACACTCTTTTCAGATACGAATTCCGAAATGAAGTATTCAAAAGTCGTTATTAATTTAATAAAAATGTGCCTACGTTTTTTTATTTAAGAAATTACAAGATTCTTTTTTAAATTGCTATTTATTGTTATAACAACAAATATTTAAAACCATTAATATATGGAAACCAAGTTTTAGATCCGATTATTTTGTAATGACATATTTTAAAACTATACTCATATTTATGTTGGTTCACTTTTTTGTGATTATGTCTTCTACCAGAAAAATTGTGACGGTTCAGATAAGGATGGTGATTTGTCCCCATCCGGTGGGAAACCTGGCTCACTTGACTTGAACGGGGACGGGGATTCCTCGCTAAAACAGGCCATGGGGCCGGGAATCCTCGGTAGACTCAAACCAGGGCCGGGGCCGAGGGCTATTACTCCAACCGGGGTTGGGGCGGGATCAGGGATCCCCGGTAGACTCAAACTAATTATTCTTCATGAGGTTTGATTAGAGTTTGACAAGGGTTTGACTGGTGACAAGATGTTAATTCTCGTACCCGTCGGGGACTGGGGGTTGTTACTAAAAACAGGACCCGGGAATTACAAGACCCATCCCCCTCCTCGTTACCATGCCTAGAGTTAGGTCAATAATTGCGATGGTAAAGTGGTTGAATTTGACATTTTTTTTGTCTTTTAGCTAGGTCCGCTATAGGTATTGCAGATAGTTGGGTCAACCCGGAAGAGAAATGATTAGGAAGTCAATTTGAATGAGTGAAATGATCATTTAAGCTAATTTCTCTTAAAATAATATTTTTATGTATTTCCTTAAATAAGTAGTTGGTATATTACGACAAAATGCACCGGTCGGATGAATGGAGTAAAAAATCAAAATGGCTTAGTCTCTAAATTATCTTTTTGAATGAAATAACCATTAAATTTAATTATTTTGAATTATTAAGTCTCTGAACTATTTTTTTTTAATAAAAAAATCATTAAATTTTCATATTTTGAATGATTAAAACTCTGAATTTTTCTAAAATAAATAAATATATCATTGAATTTTTACTAGTCAGTTAATGTAATTTTTTTGGGTTAAAAAGATGTATACGATGATTTATTTATTAAAAAAATGTTCAGAAAATTAATCAATCGAAATAAAAAAGTTTAATGGTTCTTTTCATTAAAAAAAAATTTAATAATTTTTTAATTCAAAAATATAGTTCAAAATTTAATAATTTTTTCATTCAAAATGAAAAAATTTAATAATTTTTTCATTCACAAACATAATTTAGGAATTAAACCATTCAAAATGAAAAACTTCATTAATTGTTTTTCTAAGTTTTCTAATTTTTATCAATTAATGTATGTCTTATTTGGATTTGGTGAAAAAACCAAAGAAGTCAACGATTTTGACTTTTCAAGTAACGTTTCCATTTCTTTTTCTCCAACCTCTCCAATACGTCTCTCATGGTTATATCAAAATCCTAATTTTCTTAAAGGTAAAATTATATAAAAATAAATAAATAAATATAACAGTTTTATTAAGGAAACCAACGATTAATTGATACCAAAAAAGGAAATAAACAACGCTCAACAAGAATCAGACGAAAACCAATGACCAGAAAAAGGAAAAAAAAGGACGGAATCTTAAGAAGCAAGATAGCCTAAACCACATGGCATCCGAAACAGATTGATATTTGAATATTGAAGCAATCCAAGAAAGACCGAAACTGGATTTCACTGAAAAAATAAATAACGGGAATTTACACTGTAAAGACACAAATAATACTGAATTTCTAAAAAAAAAAGTCATAATTCAAAGAATCATTTGTGAGTTAATATTCTATATTATTTAATTTAATAACAAAACTAGTTGTGTACCCGCACAATGTGGCCGGAGTCGTGAATTTTAACGATTTTGAAGTTTCACTGGTTTTATTAGAGAAGATTTAACGATGATATAAGTTACACTCCGTCTTTACATATTAATACAATTTGAATAAATAAGAGTTATGGTTCCAATTACAGTCTATCGATGAAAAAAATTGTATGACAGTTTAAAATCCAGTATATTTAAAATTCAACATATTTAAACGACTCCACAAATGTGTTCGAGTTACACCAAGAGCAAAGAATCAAGAGATCGAGAGCGAGACCGAGAGTTCTAAAGCAATTGAGTGAGAGATGAATGAGAGAACTTTTAATAACTCATGGTGAATATCAGTTTGAATCTCAACTTGGGGGATGTGGAGAAGACATAGAGGTATGAGTAAAAAAAAAGGTAATAATATGCATTGATAACTTGTGCTATATGTTATTTTAATCATAGATTAAAATATTTTAAGACTGAATGCATAATGTAGTAGTACTTAATGCATTATGAGTTGTTTTTAGTATTTTTAAGACTTTGTGCATAAATGTATAGTATTTTGTGTATTAAAAATTATTTTTAAGACTTTTGATAAATTTTGTTTATAAGGTAGTATATAACAAAATTAATTATTAATTAAACATTAAGATATTCTTAATGAAAAGAAAAGTGAGTTAATATTCTATTTTTAAAGGATTTATAATGATTTTGGAAATTCCATTTACACCCCAAAACAGCCCAAGAGAATAAGGAATTGTTGGTTGACTTCCCTTGATTCATATTTACTTATAATATTTTATTCATAAAAAAAAATAAAAGTCAACAATTTTGACTTTGAAAAATATGTATAGAAGTAATCTTCCACCGCAACCTCTCCAATAACTGACTTTCAACCAAATACTTTTATACCCAACTTCCCCATACCAAACATTCCTAATTTTAAAATTTTTTAATTCTTTTATTTGATATTTTCTTCAATTTCAACTAAAAAGTTGAAATATATGTTAAAAAATAATATTAAATTAATTGTAACGAAAATTGATATCGACGCGTTTATGTCTAAAAACAATATGAAACAACCAATTTTGACCGTATTTTTTTGAATAGAATATTGACTTCAATATTAATGTCTTTTCTTTGTGTACGAATTACGTAACAAAGTCAGAGCATCTTCAACAACTATATTAAAATAAATATTTTAGAGATATTTTTTTCTTCAGCAAATGGTAAATGGAGCTATTTGTTGTCACATGATGGAAGAAATGCACATATGAATTCATATTATTTTGTGTGTGCATCATTACGAGTGTGAGATAAGTCCACATGATGCAGAAAGACAGTGGTGCAGTTGAGCTCAGATTGGCTTCATTCAAACTGCCATTTCCCCTCTCCTCTTCAAATATGTCTCCAACTCCATCTTCTCTGAATCATTTCCCTCCATCTTCAAACACACCCATGCTCTTGATTCTCTCATACTCCGAGGAATTCAATTCTTTCCCTCTTTCAACCTTCAATTTCTACTAGTTGTTGTCATTATTCCAATGCAATTACTCAACCTCTGATCAGATCTAACCAGATTTCTTTTGTGGGTTTTGGGTTTCTGGTGTTTTGAAGCTCGGAGGTCTCACAGATTCAGCAATGGTGGCCGAGCCTTGGTTATTGAGGATGGGGAGTCAGATGAGTTCGAATCTCAAGCACGCTCTCCTCTTGGAATCATCTTCCAAACCATCCGCTAAGAACAAGCAAGAAATTCGCAATAAAACCCCGGAAACAATCGGAATCCTCTCGTTTGAGGTTGCGAATGTGATGTCTAAAACGGTACACCTCTACAAATCCCTAACCAATTCCGAGATCTCCAAATTGAAAAACGAGATTCTCAAATCTGACGGCGTCAAAGCCCTAGTTTCCTCCGACGAGACCTACCTTCTAGACCTCGCGCTTTCGGAAAAGCTCGACGACTTGAGCTTCATCGCCGGCGTCGTTTCCAGGCTCGGGAAGAAGTGTACAGTCCCACAACTCCAAGGGTTTCAGCATGTTTACGGTGATATAGCCAGTGGAGCAATTGATGTGGGGGAACTAGGGTTTCTAGTGAAGGATATGGACGCAATGGTGCGAAAAATGGAGCGCTATGTTAATTCGACAGCTAGCCTCTACAGCGAAATGGAGGTTTTGAATGATTTGGAGGTTGCGACGAGCAAATTCCAGCAGAATCAACACGAAGAAAGCCGGAAAGTTTTCGAGCAGAAAGTGATTTGGCAGAAGCAAGATGTGAGGCATCTCAAGGATGTTTCCCTCTGGAATCAAACTTATGACAAAATCGTGGAGATGCTAGCAAGAACAGTATGTACCCTTTATGCTCGAATTTGTTTCGTTTTCGATGATACAATTTCAAGAAGAGAGATGTTCTCCAATAGTTCTGTTTCGATTTCGGGTACAAATTTAAATTCCTGTAGAAGTTTAGCTCAAAATTCATGTCAAATTGATGCTGGTAGTGCAAAATCTGGTGGTGGTTTTAGTAATTCAGGGTTTATAGAGAAGAGGGTAGTTAGGGTTAGGCCTCCAATTGGATCAAGAAAGGGGGAATTATCTCTGTTTAAAGCAGAAGACTTTAATTTTGCTTGTGGGTTGGGACCAGGGAGATTGTTCATGGAATGCCTAAATATCAACAGTTCTGTTTCGAAGATGAATGATTATGATGATGGGTCTGTTCGAAAAGGTGATGATCGAAGCAGTCAGATTTCTGGTTCTTGTAGTATCTCAAGTAGTGTAAGGAGAGAGATGCCAAATCATTCTGGTTTTCAGAGTCGGATTCCGATGATTGGAGAACAAAAACGGTTTAAATGCAATGTGATGAGCACCTCCAGAACCGCTCCAAAAAGCCGACTAATGGTTCAAGCTCCTCCCAACACCATTGGAGGCTCGGCTTTAGCATTGCATTATGCTAACGTTATAATCGTGATTGAGAAATTGCTTCAATACCCACATTTAGTTGGTGAAGAAGCTAGAGATGATTTGTATCAAATGTTACCAACGAGCTTGCGATTGGCTTTAAAGATGAGCTTGAAGTCTTACGTGAAAGATTTGGCAATATATGACGCCCCTCTTGCCCATGATTGGAAAGATAGGCTCGATGAGATTCTGGCGTGGCTTGCGCCTTTGGCACACAACATGATTCGGTGGCAAAATGAAAGGAATTTTGAGCAACAACAAATCGTTTCAAGAACCAACGTCCTTCTTTTGCAAACATTGTATTTTGCCGATAGAAGAAAGACAGAAACAGCCATATGCGAGCTTCTTGTGGGGTTGAATTATATATGTCGCTATGAACATCAACAAAACGCCTTATTGGATTGTGCAAGCAGTTTCGACTTCGATGACTGCTTGGAGTGGCAAACACAATACTGATGTTGGATTTGTGACGGTGAGTTTTTCTGTTTCTCTGAATTCATTGCTTCCAAAACTGTTTGATTTATAAGATAGGTGAGATACAAGTAGCCCAAGATGATGTGAATACGGGAGTTTTTGGCTTTCTAGAAATTTATAATCATTGTATGGATCGAGTTGTTTTATGTACTTTATTGCAAGGCGTATGTCTTCTTCGCCTTTGAAGTACATAATTTAACTTGATAGACAATTGACCTTCTTCAAATGTGCAATGTATTCCAGTGTTTCCCGGTTAATTTCTAGTGTTCGCTGTGTTAAAGCTTTCAAATTTGATCGAATCCCATATGCTTCATCCAGTTTCTTGCTTGTTATCATGTTATGTGTATGTATTGTTTTGATTCTCTAGGTTTCATGGTGTATAGAAACATGAACCTTTATAGCTTGTAGTTGACTAGATGTAGAGATATTTGGTGGGCATCCTAGTTCTTGATTCCTTAATTTGGTTTCTTTACTCATTTTGTTGGATTAGATTAGACATGTAATCATGGAAAGATGGTATGTTGTTAAAATGATGACAGATATGGTGTGGATCTATATATATCATTGAATTTTGTAACATGCTAAGCCTGCATCATTCTGGACCATATCATGCTACTTTCAAGAACCTCTTTCAACTACTACTTGAATCTTTTTGCCAAAAAAGATAATAGCTACTTGAAACATTGATTGTACTTGACAACCACACCAATGGATGCTAGGACTCGAGGTTTTAGTTGATGGGAGTGGTGGGGCCACCATGGAAACGTCCGCACACTTTTCACAAAGCAGGGGTTTTTATGGACACAACCACTCTACCCTCTGCTCTGTAGGTAGATGTCATGTCTGCATATATCTTACCCTTCCCAGGTCCACCTCAAAGTGAGATATATTGGGCTTGTTTTAGTTTTGGTTTGGAATGATGGGGCCACAGAAACAATCGTTTTACCCTTTGGATAGAAGACAGATATGTGTACATCCTTCTTTAGACCTCACTTTTGAATGAGATATACTGAGTTTGTTTATTTTGGTTTAAAATGTGGGGTCTGCCCCTGCAAAATGGATCAACTTTTAGTTGCTGGTAATCTTGTGGTAGTAGTGGTTTAGTTGAAAAGAAAAAGGTTAAAAAGTAGCTGAAGCAAACAGCTTTAAAGCTTTATAGAAACTAACTGAACCCATGCTGAGATCATTGTGATCCTTCTAAATTCCCATTGAAATGAAAATGTGATTATAAATCTGATTGATAGAAAGGAAGGTGGACCCAACAATGGCCTCATTTAAATGTGAAAATTGCATCATGGGGGCATGCTTTCTTACTTTTCCATATGTGTTCATTAATATATGTTATATCTATCAAACCAGATGGGAATGCACAAGTGAATACTTATTAATATATGTTATATCTATCAAACCAGATGGGAATGCACAAGTGAATACTTATATATCCCAACAAAAATGTCAAACAAACTCATATTAGCTTTAGAATCTCAAACTGTCGTTTTGGAGATTTTACTGAAGATGCCCTAATGTGCGTTTGAAACATATATCAAAATTGGTCTAATTGTATCACCTTAAATTCACCTTCACTAAAAATCCCGATTCATATTACAATCAAATTTCAAAATGTTTTTACATATATGAAAATGTTGGATCCTAATATTTTTTAGCACCAACTATAGTCACAAACAATTTATCTATGTATAAAATAATTATTATTATCAGAAAACAACCAAAAAAGTCCCTGAAAGAGCCAACTGTCTAATGTAGTTTGAGTTCTCTGCTGATTGCCTAGATGAGTAGTTTTGCTAGAAATGCCAGCCACTTACGAATTGCATGGTTATCGAGTTCAACCACTCATGGCCTATAGCTCAAGTCCTTCGTGACGGTCACACAGTTATCAAATTCAACCACCACGGTCTATAGTTCAAGTTACCTATTACGCCTGTCGTTTTTTGCAAGAATATAGGAACAATAGTCCTACTCCAAACCATCAACTCACTCCTATGACTATGGATCCATTGTGTTACAGTTTGAAATTACACGACACTAATTGAATGACTAACACGTCCAAAACGTGTAATATATCAAATAAATATGTCATAACTGCATATAACTCAAAAGTCTGGATATGGAGCAAATAAAGTCGGATAAGTGTCTCGAAGGCTCATTAGAGTCAAAACGGAAAAAAAAAAATCAACAACCTGATGACTATGTAATAAAAGTTATCAAAAGCAATAAAATGTAATTTAACAGATGTTTATGCAAATACATGCTCCAAAGAGATGATTAACTCAAAACATATCATTGGTTGAAACAAATTATTTTCCAATTAAAACATATAATTTATATTTTCAAAATGTCCCATAACACAAATATGTATTTCCCCCTAAATATACAAAAATGCATTTATCACCAAATATTCCCCATTTACAAAATAAATCACCAAAAGACCCCACAATTAGGATTTATTTATCAAGGTGTCCAAAAATCCCAAAAGACAGGTATTTTGTAAGGTTTATAAAAATCAGTTATATCAAATATGCATAACTCATCAAATAACCCACACATTTGATAAATATTAAGTAAAACACATTAATACATCTAAATTGACATTTTTGAGATATACAAAGTTTTCACAAAGCAACTTGAACTCACCTTGCTAGGTTGGGTTAAACTTAGGTTTTAAACTAAAATCTTTAGTTTATAAAACGAAGACTTAAGGTCCAACAAGCAAGAACTCTTCTAAAAGCTTCCTCGAAATCACCACCTAAGTCTAGAGATGCATCAAAATCAACCATACTGTCATATCCAGAGCAAAACCCAAATTTAGATCTCAAAATATCCAAAAATCTAACCTCCTCAAGAATTGAAGGTTTAAGTTACATGTTTTGAAATCCTAAAGCTATCTTCTCCAAGATGCTCCAAAAAGCTCCCAAAGTTCGGCCCTAAGATTCCAAAATCACCCAAAGTAGAGAGAAGTGGAAGGTATGAGAGGAAATGAGAAAAACTCTAGCAGAAATTGAGTTAAAACTGATCTAGGCGTGCGAGGCTACCTCTGGGGCCACTCAAGTCGCATCAGAAAGTTACCCGAGCGTTTTCCAGGTCACTCGGTTAGCCGCCCAACCATTCTTGGACCGTCTTAATCGTTCTTTGTCTGTTCTTGATCGTTTCTCCACCGTTTTCTCGGTCATTCTCCCAACCGTTTTTTCTGACTGTCCTCTAGACTGTGTTCAACTATGAAACCATTGGTCTTTTTATATTAATTTTTTGATTATATGGTGTTGGCATCCATTGCAAGCATCAAATATGATTTGTTGGATAACTCACCCAAAATATATATATTGGTTGGTTCTTTATTTCTAAAGCTATAATTACTAAATTTAATACAATGATCCTGCATTTAACTTGTACTCAATGTAAAAAACTTGATCCATTGGGCCTGATAACAGGGTTGGGTTTGGCCCTTTTCTTATATTTGATTTTTTAGTTATAATCAGTTAATTACCAAATACAAATATAGAGTAAATTATGGATTTGATTACGAAGGTTCTTGATTTATTTTTCATTTTGTTCTTACAATTTATTATTATAGAAAGAGAAAACCATATTTTCGGCATGTTTTGGTCATTGCCACCAACCATCGTTGTAATCCGTAATTATTTCAAAAACGAAACTTGAGTCATTATTTGAAAATTGTCAAACCGTAGGTATTGGATTGATATTGCATTACTATTATTTGAACCCAACCCAACCCAACCTGATGAACCCAATATTCTTTTATTTATTGGATTTAATATGATTGTTGAGTTTCTATTAATATGTACATTAAACAACTACACTATCATGTATGCTCTTCATATACACATATTTTCAATCTATTCAAATCTTTATATAACTCATTCGTATATATGTTTAGTAATTATGAATATATATATATATATATATATATGTAAATTGAGAAAATTAACCGAATGTGATATACGTAAGAAATATGGATAAGTTGTATCAAATGGTTGATGATGAAAAAGAAATTATCAGTAGAGAAATAACATATTCTAAGTTAGAAAAATATTTTAATGTACCAAAGTATCAACCCGACCAACCCGTACGGGTTGGATTGCACTTTGGTTCAGGTTGGGTTGTGTTAAGATTTTTCAAACCGCAAGCATTGTGTTGGGTTGTTCAACTGTATTCAACCCGATCAACCCAACCCATGAGCACCCATAATTATAACACATAAATCATAGGAACAACGCTTGTAATGATATATATATATATATATATATATGTGTGTGTGTGTGTGTGTGTGTATGTATATGTATGTATACATGTATATATATGTGTGTGTATATACACACACACACACACGAAGGATCATGCGTAAATGAGAGTTAAAGTGAAAAACGTAAGAAATGATCTGGACCCTTGATCAACTTTAATCTCAAAACCACCCATAAATGGCGCTTGATACGTGATTGATCCGGTGCATCTCATTATAATGTGGATCTAAGGTGAAGATCTCACTTTCTTTCTCACAAGAATCCAACCCTATATATATATATATATATATATATATATATATATATATATATAGGGAAAAGTTCAAACGAGAACTCCTGTGATTTACGAAAATGCGAGAACAACTCAATAACCACATATTGTGATAAAAAATAAAATTAAAAGATTTTCAAAATTAAACTTAAAATTTAAAAAGATTCAAAAAAAATTAAAATTAAAAGGGTAATAATGGAAATGATATATTATCTAGAAAACGGTTAAAATCTTTTAAACTTATCATTAAATACAATCAAAATCTTTTAAATTTATCATTATCATCTACAAAACGGTTACGATTACAAGCCTAACTTCAAATCGCAAGAACTACGGACGGCGACGGTGTTGATCGACGGTGACCAACCAAGAACACGCAACCGTAATCGACCAAGAACCCTAATCGAGAAGTCATTGCATGCAACAAGCGGACAAATTCAAGGTATCTTTCAAAATTACTCGTTTTGAATAAGTTTTTAATCGATTAGTTGTGATACTCATGTAATATCAAGACACAATTTGGGAATGTCTATTATCACATTTATCACACCATTATCACATCTATCACACCATTATCATAGCTCCTGTGATCACTGGTAAGTCGATGCCATCAACATTTTGGGTGTCAAAAGCAGTTGTTGTTTATCACATGGGATGTTTATCACATGTGATAAACATCCAAAATTCTCACTTRCATAGATATCACAATTATAATCATTGATTTGGTGTTACAAGTTGAAGGTGAAATTA